GCGGGGGAGAGAGCGAGCGGAGGGAAGGTGCGCGGAGGAGGAGGCAGCCCCCTCCCGCTCCAGGCTCGGTGCTGGGGCCTCCTGACCACCCCGCCCGCATCCTGCGCCGGCCAGTCCCGAGATGTCCGTGGTCCTGACGCTCACGGGGTCTGTCACACTCGCCAAAGCCCCCCTGGTGGTACGGGTGACCCCTCGGGCTCCTGGCAATGGGTGGGCCTGAACGACGATTAAGCCTGGCTCACCGTTGCCTGGGGACACGCAGGAGGTGCGGCCCTGCCTGGGACCCCCTCCTGGTTCTGCTGTGGTTTCATGCCTTGCAATGTGACTTCGCCCTTTGTTATGTCTCATCCCCTCCCCACCCTGAGCTCCCCAGGCGGGTGCTCCCCCAGCGCCTGCCCCTGAGAACTTGTTTGCTAAGTGACTGTGAAGCTGCCATGCCCAAAGCGTTGGGCACCAACAGCTTTGACTGGCCTCATCCCAACAGCAATTCCCAGATTCATTTGTTTTTAGGTCCAGAACTTCTTAATCTTGAAATTAAGCCTCTTAGTTTTTAAAGCAGCTTCAGGCAGCCTTTCTACATCCGCCTGGATGATGTAAGGAGGATCTTAAGGCAGAAATGCAAGTGACGGACGCACCTGCCCTAGACACCTGTGCACCGTCCCATCTCCAGGTCAGCAGTGCCTGGCTCTCCTGGGACAACCAAGACGAGGGCCGAGGAAAAGGGAAAAGCCCAGTGCAAGTTCAAGAAGTTCTTATAAGCGAAAGGTCCCAGGTTCGATTCCAGTTAAGGGCATGTAACTTGGTTGTGGGCACGATCCCCAGTAGGAGGTGTGCAGGAGGCAGCTGATCGATGTTTCTCTTCATCGATGTTTCTAACTCTCTCTCTCTCTCCCTTCCTCTCTATAAAAAATCAAATATATATATATATTTTTTTTTTTTAAAAAGAATGAAGTCAGAAAACCAAACTGACAATGATCGTTGATGATCTATACTGCTATGCAGAGGAGGTGGGTACCACCTGGACTGTAGTCAGAGACACATTTGCTGGCACCCCTTTTACACCTGGTCCTCCCACCCCTTGGGCGTGATGTCCGCATCTGAGAGCTCAGCTGCCTCTGAGTTTGCTCCGGCCAAAAAGAAAACCCCCACGTGTGACTGGGAAGAGAAGACCCGGGCCTGGCCAGAAGCCGGAGTGAGGAAGGAAGAGCCACAGCGAGGAAGGTAGTGAACCGACCGCGATGAACGGCTGTGAAGTCCTATCTGAACTCAGTCATCCCAGAAGGAGAGGTGAAAGCCCACCCTATTCCTGAGTCATTTGCTCATTCAGTTAACATTTCTTGAGTGCCTACTATGTGCCCGAAGCTGTTCCAATAAAACAAAGGTTCCCCCCGGCCCCCCAATACTTGCCCTAGTAAACCTCTCCCTCTTGGAGCTTGCATTCTGCGGTGTTTGCAGATGGTGTTCCATCCCTCCGAGACGGTGGCATGTGGGGAGATGGGTGGAGGGAGAAAGCTGCCCCCGGGGAGAAGGAGAGGAAGAGGGGAGGTCAGAACGCTGGGGTTGAGGTAAGGGAACCCTGGAAGAGCCAAGGAAATCCGAAGGCCCCGCCTGGGAGGTGCAGCGGGAAGAGGTGCCCTGGGTGGGAGGACCCCTGACTCGGTGCACTGATGGGCTCCTGGCTGGACTGGGGAGCTCAGCCTCTGGTCACGGGCCTGCAGAGAAGGCCTCACCATTTGCTAAAGGTTTTATGCTGGAGCTCTGGGCTACCCCTGTTACTGCGCCTTGCTGGAATTTTCTGGGGGACTGAGTGTGCCGCAGTTGGCATCACAGGGCTTGTCCCCCATCAGTTCTGTGTGTATGAGGTCATGCTATTTCCCCAAAGCCCAGAACCCAGAGGAGAGCCCCCTGCCTGCCTGCCCTGCGCGTCTACTGTGGGTGGGTGGGTGCTGCCCCCTCGTGGTGCTGGGAGACCCTGCGCCAGACCTCACAGCAGCTGGGGGCTGTGGGGGTGAGAAAAAGGGGCTAAAAGGCCCCGGGTGACCCTGATTCTGGATTTCCTGTCAATCCCAGCACCTCAGGCAGCTCTGGCAGCATAACTCCCAATTGGGACTCTGCCCGCTCCCTCCCCTTTCCATTCCTCCAAGACCTTAATAACTGACAGGCGTGAGCAAGACTCCGACGCAGTCCAGTTGGATGTTCCTAAACCTGTGTTCCTCCCCCTCCATCACCCCCGTTCCTCCACCCTTGTCCCCTGGTGCTGGGTGTCTTCGGCGGTCAGGAAGGAACGCCTGTCTAGGAGCCAGTTCAGGCGAAGGGTCAGCC